TCTCTCTCTCTCTCTCTCTCTCTCTCTCTCTCTCTCTCTCTTTCTTTCTTTCTTTCTTTCTCTCCCTCCTTATATTAGAGAAAATACAAGTTATGAAAAGAGAAACTTATTTTTCTATTTTGTTTTTGTTTTTTATATTTCATATCTGTTTCCCAGATATCCCTCTCAACACTGGTGTGAATATTAAGGCATGAGATTTAATAATCCTTTTCCTCTTCATCCACAGGACTGATGGTTATATACTTTATATGTTTTATTACATATATCTAGTGTTCAGACTTATATTCAATTTTATTTGAACCATTCCCTCTCTCCTTTGCTTTTATTTATTTTTGCTGTCTGTCTTCGCAAAGAAATCTCTCTCTCTCTCTCTCTCTCTCTCTCTCTCTCTATTGTATACATTATTATCTTTACTGTACATACAGTATTTGAGACATATATTCAGGCAATAAATGTTATTATCGGCTGAATATAATATGAAATAAAATAATTGTCATAAGTTTACTAAATATTAAACGTATAATAAATATATTTATTAATTAATTCATATTGAGAATGATTTCAATAGAGTATTAGATTTAATGCTATAAATTTTGTATTCATTATAATAGTAGCAAAAAATATAATGATTGATATACTTTATGTTATAAATCTGGAGTAACAACTTATCATAATGACAATCACGAGTGAGTTAACTACAGGCGCCAACATTCACATTATGCACGGGTTTACACACTGTATATCCCGATGTGCTAATTGAATACTCACCCCATCGCTCCCTTCCCTATCCCTCAGCATCCCTTTCCCATTCTGTACAGTAGTATATATTATGTGTTGATTATATCTGAGCCTTACTTTTCTCAAGTCTCAAAACTGCAAAATATAAAAATATACTGTTTTTTTTGCTTTCATTTTATGTTTAGTATTCACCAGAATATTCTCTACGATATGTTATATCCCTTATCTGTATATAACATCTACTATTATGAGTGACAGTAACAGTAATCTCCCAGCGATTCGATAGCGTATAGAATATACAAAATTCTGGGTATTATTAGTAAAGCATAATATGGTTGCGAACACAAGACATATAAAGGCTATATATTTTAAAATATATCAAAATTTTTAACCAAAAATTTAATTAGTTATAACATGATTGTATGATATAAATCATGTTTGCCTTTCTATACTGTACTAAAGTGTACAGTCTGTGTGCGTGTAGTGTATAATCGTTTTACAATGAACTTCATTCACATTGCATGTAATCCTAAGACATTTCCATAGATTTCATAATATTTTGTTTTACAAAAATGTTTAATTAAAATTGTTTTGCAAACAACTCGTTCTGTATGTCATATGAAAACTATTTATAAATTAAATTATATTTTCTATAGACTTAAGGAAAGCATCGGTTCTGATACTTATAAGATCTATGAGATATATAATAGTAAAGAGATGTAAGTTATGTGTTATTATCAATCATTTGCCACCAAAAAAGTCTTATATAAGTTATATGTCATATAATTGACGAGATTTAGATTGCAATACTACCGGTGCCATAGGTTTTAGCGCTTGGATTCAATCACCAAATGGATAAGTTTGTCTCATACTCTCTCTCTCTCTCTCTCGCATCTCAACCCCTTTTCATTCAATATAATAAAGCACTTATAATGTACTAAAAAGTTGTTCACTGAAAACGTATTGAATAGTATTAATGTTATAATAAGAGCACACATATAATACATGAACCAAACTCTTAACACTTCGTATACTCTAACCTATTGTTGTATTTTTGAATCCTTTAGGGAGTTATTCCTTAACTCAGACGTAAGGTATGTGTCGGACAATACAGTGACACACGATATGTTGTGCGCCCGTAATGTCTGTGTCTTTCACAACCATTTCCCTAACCATAAGCTATGGGAATGGCATTCATTCACATAACATATAAACA